GTGTTTTTGTTTTGTTTTTTTAAGAGTGTTTTAAAGAATTAAAATAGACTGAAAAAGAAGTTTTGAGTCAACTTGTAAATATGCATAAAAGCAGTATTTCTAAGAAATTATCTAAAGCAAAGGTCATAAACTTCAGAAAACGAAATTCTTTATCTGGGCAGTTTCTACTTGGTGTTCGCTACCTTTTAAATTTTCATATTTTTGAAGACTGAACTGTTGAAGGCATTCTTTGCCTTCCCAGCAGAGATCTGCCTGAGATCAATTTGTTTTAAAACAGTTTTTCTTACATATTTTTTGTCTATTATTGTGAGCAGTATAGAATTAAAAATGAAATTGGCTATTTATTTAAGAACTTAATGTATTGGAGACATATTTTTTAAGTAAGACTTTAGTTTATTTCTACTGGCATTAGTTCCTTTAATCAGAATTAAAAATATTCTAAGTTCAAAAAGTTGTTTGAACACACATTTTTTATTATTGTTATTTCTCTTAGAAGAAAAGTGATTACTTTGTTCTGCTATGATAATAAAATTGTTTGAAAGGGAAGAGTGGTAGTGTGACCTTCTCTTATTTACTACTCCCTGAATATGATAACATATATATTTATATATGTTCCTTTCTTTTAAGAGAAATAACAATAACAACAATGTGTGTTCAAACAACTATTTGAACTTAGGATGTTTTTAACCCTGATTAAAAGAACTAATGCCGGTTGAAATAAATCTAAAGTCTTGCTGAAAAAAATGTAGAAGAGGTAAAAATGAACTATATGCCCTCACCAGAACTTTCTGAGACCAACTCTTTGAGTTGTCTTGGAAGGAAACATTGCAATACAATTAAGGATGGGTGAGAGAAATGTCTTTCTGTTATGAAGTGGGAGATGATTGAGAAGAACTGTTATAGTTTTATAGGCAAGTCTGGAGGATATGAAAGAAAACTCACCCAGATACACTCAGGTTCCCTTGAAAAGTCTTTGAGCTTGTCCATCAGTATGTGTAGCTTAACCTGAAGAATATCACTGCTGTTAAAAAGTTGTAGTAGTGGCATGGATATGGTCATGTATGAGCTCTATTACTTCAAAAGGGACAATAATACCCGTCAGCAATTTACACAATATAAAACCAGTTTTCATAAAGTCAGACAAAATCTCTATACTTCTTCACCTACTTGTACTAATTCCAATGCCATCATCCTGCTCTTCTAATGGGTCTGAAATCCATTGCAATAGGCACACAGACATCACAGAATCATAAATACTTCAGGTTATGGGTTTTATTGGGGAAGCTATTAATCAGAGATGTGGGTAATGACTAAGGATGACAGAAGAATCAATGTTTTTGAGTTGTGATGCTGGAGAAGAGTCTTGAACATACCTTGGACTCTCAAGAGAACAAATAGGTCTGTCTTAGAGAAAGTGAAACAAAGTTTCTCCTTGGAGGCAAGGATTTTGAAGCTCTGTCTCACATACTTTGGGCACAAGGCCAGACAGATCAATCCTTGGAGAAGGGCATCATGCTCAGAAGGACGAAGGGACAATGCAGGATGGAAGACCTCAGATGAGATGTATTGACACAGTAACTGAGGTATGGGGAGTAGGTGTATTGGAGGCAGTGAGATTAATTTAGGATACGGGCAGGCTTCAGAGCTCTTCTACATAGAGTCACTATGAGTTGCAGGCTATTCAATGGCACACAACAACAAGAAGTTACAATTCAGGTTGGCAGCAGGATAAAATTTCTCAATTAAGGCAGCTTCTCAAGCATACTTGGAATGCCCTTTGACTTTCGGCCTCACAGCTTAGGTCAGTGCAACAAAGCTATCTTAGTCCTGCCAAGTATGGCATCTCTTCCCCCCCAAGTCCTCCAACACACTTGGACGATGACTCCTAAATCTGGTTCCTTGGCAGCTATCCCAACTCAGCTCCACCTCATGTCAGTTTCTCATTCTCTGCTGTAGCTTCTGGTCCTTTTGGGTTTGTCCAGGTCTGACTGACAGTGAAATCTCTAGTCCTGACGTATGTACACTACATTCTCTGCCTTTTCTTCTTCCTTGCTAGTAATGAGATAGATGTTCATCTCCTGCTGCTAAATCTGATGTGAAGGCGAAACTAACCAATTCCATCGCGGGTCATTTACTTATCTAGGTTAAATCTTTCCATTCATCTATGTAGTGGCACTCAAAACTAATAATCTGCAAAAACGATTAATTAACTCATAAATCATTATACAACATGGGGGAGCTTGGAGGACATTATGCTGAGTGAAATACTTCAGTCACAAAAGGACAAATACTGTATAATTCCGCTGTAATAAAATAGGACAGGTGGGGTGGGGTGAACAGAGAATGGACAAAAGAGTGGATAAGTAATGAGCATCATAGTAGAACAGATGAGAGAGAACTTCTGAAGGGAATATATGATTGGTATTATATGTATGACAACAATCTGGAGCAAGGGGTGCATTCCTGGGTGGGCTGGGGCATGAGGGAACAGATGGAAGGAAGAAAATGTGCAAGAAGAAAAAAAAAATATC